TTTTTTTTTTTTTTTTTATCACTGTCCATGCGTTTATTTGTTCGAAAATTCAAACGTTATTCATGGCTGTGTGTGCAATTAGTACAGTTAAAGGTGGTTCATGTCATCAAAGTTAGTGTAATTATTGTTGTAAATTTCAATTATTGTTTGTCATCAAGGTTAGTGTAAATTTCAAATATTGTTGTAAATTTCAATTATTATTCATGGTCGTGGGTATTTCATGTATAGTTTAAACTTGTTCAAATCAATGAAATTAGGATTAAAATCGTATTGTTGTTCAAATTCATTCCAGGTGAGTTTCAATTCTTCCATGAAAAAATGATTTCGTTTCATCCACATTTTAGTAATAGATCGATAAGCTTCCTTAGTAAATACTTTGTCCCATTTCTTACCCAATCCAACTTTAGCACCTGTTAGGCTATGGATATCTTGTTTAGTCTTGATGAGGTACAATAGTCGTTTGGAGAACTTCTTGTTATTCTTTGCATATATTGAGATATTATATAAATTCCTAAACATTTCTTTTCTTATATCACTATAGTATTTACATTCAAAAATAATGTGTTGCATTGTCTCTCTACTACAGCAAGGACATAGCAAGTTCGTCTTGGATATCTTGTTTAGATTTTCCAAAGTCTTCATCACGTTCATTCTAATTTTAAATATTAGATTTAAGGTTTTGAAACCGATTCCTATTGAGGGGTAAATGTTGGTGAACTTTCTGTTCTTGGGAGGAAGGTTCTTTGGCGTATATGTTCTTTTGTGGAGGCGTTGAAATAGAAGTTTGTACATTGTTTGTCTAGTGTTTTGAGTGTATAATACATTGTTGATAATAATATACCAATTATTGGATGGAATATTAGTAAGAATATTGTTACAATCAGCACCTTTCTTAGCAGCCCTATCTGCTAATTCATTTATGCGGCTATAGATATCTTGTTTACCTGTATGACTATTAACATGCATAATTTTGATCTGATCCTTCATTTTTAAATAATTACGAATTTCTTCAACATAAGGATCTCTAGATTTTCTGAATTGGAAAAGTTGGTCATAAATACTTTTCGCATCTATGACTATTGTTCTAGGAGTGTTGTTATCTAGCAATCTAACAACTGTGTGGAGCGCTTGAACTTCACTGTTGTAGGAAGTTCCTTGTCCTAAGGTGTGACTTGAGATGGAAACATTCTGATCAGTTACGATACCGTATCCAGCAATATTATTGTTACACGATCCGTCAGTACCAATTAGTGTAGCTTTGTTCAAGAGGTTTGACATGGATGTGTTGTTACCAACATATTTGTAGTATTTGCTTTCGTCTTTGATTTTTCCAAAATCCATGCTATTGAGAATGTTGCGAATTTGGGTGACATGATTGGAATGTTTGATGTCATTATGTAATTTCACTTGTAAATTTTTAGGGTCAGGAACCCACATACTTAATCTGTTCCAATCTTTATAGAGCAGGAATTGTCTTAAACCTTTAGGGAATTTTCCATAAGGGATGAGAGTTTTTTCATGCCATTGGTCACTCGAATGCCACAATCTAATATTGGAAGATTTGTTCATGAAAATTATTCTCTTGAGATATTGAGGAATCCATGGGTCTGGTTTATACCAAGTAGGGATTGGATCATTGAGGATGTCAAAACCATGCTCCTGTTTGATTCGTTCACAAAGGAATCGTGTAGAAGATCCAAGACAAATATCATATTGTTCAAGGAACTTTCTGACTTTACACATTAGGTCCGAGTAACTCATTTCTTGAACAGAAATTAATCCAAGTCCACCTTTGTCTTGATGAGTATAAAACCACTCGAGAGCTAATTTTCTCTTGGTTCTTAATCTTTCACATATAAAGTTGCGAAAGAATTTATCAATTTGTTTCTCTAGATGGTCATTAGCAAGAGGAATTAGGTGGTACAGTGCATACGGAACAATGTCTGTGTTGATAATTTTGACAATGTTCTGTATTGGAAAATTCCAGCCAATAGAGTTTGTTCTTCTTTTAACTTCTTCAATAATTGAAGTAGTGTATTTCTTTTGTTCCTCAGTATTATTGGTAATATTATTACCAAGTATAATAATAGAATCATTACTTTTGATCGTACTTCCAGATAATGTCTTGATACTACATTCCTTATCAGAGAAGAGGTTAGTTTTGGAATGATCTAATTCCATGTGATAGCCATGAAGATAGGTTTCAATGTCATGCAAAGAATTTTCAATTTCAGGTAGTTCGTTGGAAAATGAGTTCAAATCATCAATCCATGCGCCTGTACTAATGTTCCAATAATTTGCAACACTAGCACCATTATATGTTATTTCTAAAAATTGTAAGAGAGGCTCAAGCGCAATTTTGAATGCAAGGGGAGAGAAGGTGTCGCCTTGTTTCAATCCATCTTTCACATTGAAACATTCAGATTTACCATTAGGTATAACAAACTTTGTCGTAGATTCACCTAATATTTCCAGAATTCCATCAGCAGTAATTTCATCAATCCCTAAGAATAGCAGTCCATCACGAAGCATAATTCTCGGTAATGAGTCATAAGCTTTTTGATGTCAACAGCCAAACCATAAAAAGGTTTCTTGTCCTTTTTGCCCAAGCAATCATATTGTAAATTGAAAGGACTCTGTGAATAGTTTCTCTGCCGTCTTCACCACCAAATTGAGCTAATGATAATCTTCCCTTTAACACTTCCTTCAATCTTTTGGTGATTAATTTAGTAGCTATTTTAAGTCCTGAGTCCATAAGGGCAATAGGTCTATAGTTAGCAGGGTTTGAGTGGTCCTTATTCTTTTTGTGAATTGGGAGAATGCTGACACTTTGCATAGATTCAGGAGTAAATCCAGTTGTAATGATATTTTCAATAATTTGAAAAATTTCCTCCTGTAATTCCTTACACATGTATTTGATAGTTTTTGTCTTAAACCTAGTTCATTGGGTGCTGTGGATTTCAAATTCTGAATTATCCATTCTTTCTCTTCCGTGGTAATTCTACCGAGTATTTTGTCATTGCAATTATCAATTAATGGATGTTTGTACTTGAAAAACTTGGTAATGTCAATTTGATGATTTCTTCCTCTAAAGTTGAGGTTTTGTTGATATTTGTCCTTGATCACATTGGCAACTTCATTGGGGTCACTAATTTCAGTTCCTTCGATAGATAATTTGTATGGTGGTGATGACGTTTTGTAAATTTTCTTTCTCAGATGTTTAGAGTTGGTTGCATAGTTTTGTTCCCACCATTTCATCTTTCTGTTCAAAGCCTTATCATGGCTCCATTTGATATGGTTCTTGATTTTCTCTTTGACACTTGCAAGACATTTTGGAACCTGTTCTAAAGTTTTACCAATAGTGGTCAAAAGTTTGTCACAAGGATATCCGTGCTCATTTCTATCAAGTATTAACATGAGCTTCTTATATTGCTTATTATATTTGTAGATTTTAGGATCAAGTTTAGGTGGATTGACCTCCACAAATTTGTCGCCTAGTTTATCACAAATGAAAAGCCATTTGTCGTTATCAGATTCTAAATTCTTAACTTGAGATACACATTCTTTGCTAATGGCCAGCACTTCTTTCTTATTTTTGGGATCTTGAAAGTTACGCTTCTTCCGAATTAACAAAGGTGTTCGTTGACATGAGAGGTCAAGTAGAATTTTAACCATTTTGTGATCTGATATGAAGTTGGCATTCAGTACTTCTCCAGATGCAATTGGAAAATCTGTGGATATGTAATCTATTATAGACTTGGATTGTTTGTTAATAGTATAATGAAGGTGCCATGATAAATGAGGGAAAGGATAGTAATTAAGATTTCTCTTGTTAATAAGATCTAGTATGTTTTGATCAGTTCTTCTAGATTCGTTTGAGGAGTGATTCTCGGATAAAATCGCATTGTAATCACCTCCAATAATGATTTTGTAGTTAGGATATTTTTCAATTAGGTTGTCAAGAATATATGTGAATTCACATCTGTCAGCTGGTTGATTTGGAAAGTACGCAGAAATTACTAGAGTATTAATTGAATTGATTTTACATTTCACGCCAATAATTCGCGCGTTATTCTTAATGATCGGATCTAAGATGATTTCTTCAATATCTTTGAAAGTGCTTTTGTTGAGGCAAATAGATACACCACAGGAATCTCTTGGATTGTGATAATATGTAAATGAAGAATAATATATAGAGGGAAAATCTGGACCAATGTAGACGCTTTTAACTTCCTGGAGCATGATTATATCAGGAGTGATTGAGTTGAGGTAGCCTCTTAGGGCTGATAATGGTTCTGCTCTGAGACCATTAATGTTGAGGGTTAGAATAGATAATTCTGGAGCTACTGAAGTGAATCAAGTAGTTTTAGCTTTTTGTGACACTCATCAATTTCCTCTTGATATATCTTCCTCTTGGTATTATCTTTTGTACAACCAGACAGAAATGTTAGAGTAGCAATTCTATTGGTAATCATTAATTCTTCATTATTTGCTCTGATAATATTAGCCATTTCCTTAAATCCCATAGCCAATTTCTGATTCTGTCTTGCCTCAAGTTCTGCAATTCTTTTATCCATAGAAGCTTCAATTCTCTTGATTTCTTTTAGATGATCTTGTTGCACTTTTTCAAGAGTAAAGGAAACGTCTTTCGCTGCAATTTTAGAAGATCTGCCTAAATTTTGTGAAATTTTGTGAACTGTATCAGGTTTCTTTTCCAGGAAATCTTCTAGCATTGGATAATTGAGAGCAAAATCCAATGTCCATTCATTCATTCCATATGCAGCATGGTTTACCAATCTGATGGCATTAGATAGATTGTTGAGTCTAATCAAACATATTCTCTTCTCTTGATTGATGATAAGTATGGATACAGGTTGGTCATTATTGTATTTTCTGGCAAGAGAGGATTCCGTTTGTATTCTAGCTCTAATCAAATCATTTCTTTCAGGCCATCTACCAATGATGTCAGAGTATTGTACATCCATTGCATAGTTGAATGGTATGTCGATTTTCATAGTGACTGTTTCCTCTGTTCTAGGAATAGTGATATCATATGTTTTTGCCTTACATAGATTATTTCTGGCTTTCATACTTTTGACAGTGATCACTGCTGCCATTTCTTTACCAATTCTAGCTGTAGCAATTTCAACAATGGGTTCACCAGTATCGCTTTCAATAGCATTCCTCCAATCTGCCTTGACTGTAGTTTTCCATAGTTCTCCTATTGGAATATTATGGACACGTATAATTTTGTTGGTGTCGTTTTCACATGATGAAGTGATATTGACTTCTTTAAATTTTGTACGTAATGTTTCAACTGCCTGTTCTACTTGAGCGCAATCTTCAATAGTGACAATTATGGTATTATTGAGCTTAATAATCGGATTGATGGTGACATATTTGCCACTAAGTTTGTCCTTAATTAATTCAATTACCTCATTCTCTTCAAATATTTTGCTATATCTAACAGCAATATATCTGGGAGGAGTGATTTCCTTCACTGCTATGTCATTGATGTTGAATTCTTCATTGTCTTGTTGGACATTACTACTTTTCTTGTTCTCAGATAATAGTTTGTTAATATTCTTCATTCTTTCCTTCCATAACTCCCAAACATGTTTTCTGTCTTTATGGTTTTTAAAAGCCTTTCTTTCTGTGGTGATTTCGTATTTAATGTCATCAGAGAGTATTCTGAGAGTGGCTTTTACAACATGTTGGAAATTTAAGGTCATAGGGTTGTGTGGGCTAGCAATAACAGATACAATTTCTAAAATCTGATCAGTGTCAAGAAGAGTTCTGTTTGTATCTAGTTTAGCATTATTGTGTTTGAGAAAAGTTTTACCAACAATTTCATCAACTGACATGTCTTGTATGTTGAGGTTATTAGTCAGCTCATTATCCAACAATTCAATGTTGTCTTGGTTACTCATGCTCATACTATTAGTTTTAGCGGCCAATTCTTCATCAGCTATTGGATCAATAGTTGGGTACAATCTAGTGTCAACACTAGTAGAGCAATTGTGAGTAGGGTTGAGATTATTTGTCAAATTGGGCTCATTATCTACAGATGAACTAGCAGAAGCAATGTAGTCGTTTAATGATTGAAGTGAGCTAGAGTGCTTGGGTCCATGATTGGATCCATGGTTGGGTCTTGTTTTACCGATCTTGCTGGGCATCCTAATTGAATTATTCTTCTTTTTTTTAATTTGTATAACGAATCTGATCTTGTTAGTCTGATTAAATACCATTCAGTCAATAGCGCTTTGATCTTAATAACTGCCATCGTAATAGGGTCTTGATTACAGTTTGATCACAACGGTAACAATCTCAGTACTTATAACCGGTGGTAGTTGTACGGTACCAAATCAGTACAGTACTTCGTAGAGAGGGAGAGATAAGTTTTAAATTTAAGTTTAATGATTCGGAGATGGTTCTTTGGGTGGTGATAAAGGGTGCTCAAGGTGAACACCTAGCGGAGGTGTTGTGTTATTTTTTTTTTTCCTCGAAAACCTCTTTTCATTTTTTTAAAGTCCAACTTGGTGATGAATATTCGAATACATATTTGGAAAGTCTGTTCATCTTTACTTGACAACTTCTTGACGTCACGAGCTCGTGATTTTTTAAATTCTTAATTGATCCAGTTCACTTCAAGTGGACTTACTGATGATGTTTCAAAGTGGAGGTTTTGTTGATCCCCAAATGATCTTTTTCAGAAACTTTGTCTATTCAATGACTACTTACAATGAATTTAAAAGGATGCAAGTCCAATATTGTGGATCCACTATTATTAACAATATCAAGAATTATAAATGCTGATCGATTTCACTGGTTATTCCTTCCACGCATCGACATTAAAATTTTCCCCGCCAAAAAAAATGTCTCAACAACTTTGGACTGAAAAATAGTAAGTTTGATGATGATTTTAATTTTTGAACTTTCTATTGTTGATTCCGATGATGATACATGGCGTCATGTACGGAAACAATAATAATCATGACTTTTATATCTAACAACAACAACAACAATTAATATCTTGTTCCTCCGATGTGTTTCTGGTTTAACGATATCATCAAATATAATACCAACAGCCGACCAAAAACTGTGGATGATGTCGTTCATCAAGAAGAAGTTGTAAATGCTCTCAAGCATAGTTTGCAAGAGGGAAATTTACCCCATTTACTATTTTATGGACCTCCTGGTAACGGAAAGGTTTGTTGTGATTCTTCTAAAATTTAGAATTTTATCATCAATAATTCCAGACAAGTACAGCAACTGCAATTGCAAAACAATTATTTGGACCTGAACTATATAAAAGTAGAGTGTTAGAATTAAACGCGAGTGATGAGAGAGGAATTAATGTCATTAGAACAAAAGTGAAACAATTTGCTCAAACTGCAGTGAGTGAAAATCCACCATCGAAAGGCAAATATCCTTGCCCACCATTTAAAATTATTATTTTAGATGAGGCTGATTCAATGACTGTAGATGCACAATCTGCATTGCGTAGAACTATGGAGACCTATTCCAGTGTCACAAGGTTTATCTTAATCTGCAATTATGTGAGCAGAATTATTGATCCCATTACATCGAGATGTGCTAAATTCAGGTTTAAACCATTGGATAACACATTACTGAAAGAAAGATTGCAAATGATTGCTGACAAGGAAGGTATTTCACTTCAAGATACAGCTGTTTTGGATAGAATTGTTTCTCATAGCGAAGGAGATTTGCGAAAAGCGATCACAACCTTACAAAGTGCTTCTAGAATGTTTGGATTTTCTATTGCTGAAAAACATATTGTGGAAATTTCTGGAACAGTTCCACAAGAGCTTATTGTAAATATTCTCAAATTATCGAAGGAGCAAGATATTAATGTAATCAAAAAGAGGTGGAAAAAGTGATCAAACAAGGTTATGCTGCTTATCAAATTATCAACCAATTGGCAAGTTATATTCTAAGTGATAAGTGTGAAGTGAAATTAGACGATATTCAAAAGAGTAAGATTCTTTTGAAAATTGCATCATGTGACAAATGCCTCATTGATGGAGCAGATGAATTATTGCAACTGCTATCACTCGTTTCATTCATGGCACAAACCTCAGGTGTCGATTCAGATGGAGATGTCTCCATGTATTAAATTATTAATCTCATATTGTTGAAACTTTCTGAAGAACCATGTAGTGTTAAAAAAAATGTCTCATCATATCATTAACAAACAAGATGATGCCACCAACAAGGACTCCGAATGCTGGATTGAATCCTATTTCCGAGCTTGCATTGAAAATAATACAGAAAAAACAACTAGCATACAATGTGATGAAAAAGTAAAAGAGTTCTATAGAACATTAATTTCGGAATGTGGACAAAAGATTTCTCTTCAAATTGTCGAGTGCGATAACAATGCCAGAGCCTACTATCAAAGAAGATTTAACCACGAAAAACAAGAAGAAGAAAGAAGTATCATCGTTTGTAAAAATCACGTACTGGAAGAAAAGGATTTGAATGAAGTGTTACGGCATGAACTGGTTCATGCGATTGATGATTCTCCAAAATGTTCAATGCTGAATTTTAATTTAAGAAATTTGCATGACAGAAGTTGTAGTGAGGTGAGTCATCATCATCTTTGACAACATTACTATTGACTTTTGAGTAATTAGATAAGAGCGGCATATTGGGCGGAATGTGGATCGTTATTGAGACCAAATACTGATCCATCAAAAGTGCATTTTCAATGTGTTAAACATACTGCTGTAAGTACCATCTAAATTCTTTGATATAATTATATTATAACGAATGTGAATAATCGTAATGACGTTCAGATGCAATCTGTAAAGCTCGACCATCCCTTTGATCTCGTTCAAGAGTCTGTCAAGAGAATGATGTGGAAATGTTACAATAGCAAAGTTCGGCTCAATACTGGAGATTAGAATTTTTCACTCAAATGTGAACGACCACGTGTATTGAGGTCTTTTTTCACTCCAACTCTTTAATTTGCTTTTGCTGCTTCAAAATTTGTCTTTGATCTCCATAGGGCTCATAGTGTTTTGGTTGATTAACAAATGGTCCACAGAAATTGAATCTAATGGTGCAATCAGAGTTTTTCTTGGTTGAATAAAGGCATGCAGCTGGAAATAGCTCATAGAGTTCGTCTTGTATTGCTATTGACTTGATTTCTTGAATTCTTCGATTAGATTCTTTTTGATGAGAATAATTTTTTCTCCATTCTTGTAAAATGTGAGCTTCTTTTTGTTTGATTCATTCCACATCCAATCACATCACCTGCTCCAAATTTTGTTCCAACAAACATTCCTTTTCCATAATAATGAAGCACTGCATAAATTTTGGTTACCTTGACAGTGATTACTTTTAAACTTGAAAACTTACATCCATCAGACTGCCAGCTGTATCCAAATTGATTTCGATGGCCAGGCGTCAATCCAATAATGGGTCCGTCACAATTTGATCGATCTACATCCCAACCAATACTAATGCTTGATCCAAAGGATTCATCAAACTGTTCGATCAATACTTCAAAATACCATTTGGCCCATCCTTTGTAATTTAAGGAATGAGTAGCTTGTACAGTCGAGTATCGTTTTGCCCTTTCAAGTGAACTGTTACAAAATCCTCGTCAATAGTTAAGAAAGGAGAGCACTTTTCCGTGTTAAGAGAGACATAAGGTTTCTTATTTTTTCTCTTTTCAATTTCTGATTCCAACACATCAGGAAAGACACAACCTTTTTTCATGAGCTCCATCAATTCCTCCACAGATTTGTCTCTAAACTCATCTGCCAACATTCCTTTCCTGTATTCAATTTCTTTTTCAACCATTGCTCTTGGGAAATGAAATCCATAACTGTTTTTCAGGTCCTTTAGTTTTTGAACCGGAAGCTGAGCAAGAATTTCTGCCATGATTTCCGTCATCATTCTGGCTCCTAGAGCTTCATGGTATAAATGGACTTCGAAATTCTCAGTGATGGCTTTGATGCAAGAGTTCTTCAATTCTGTTGATTGGAGAAGGTCAGCCAAAATTAGCAAAGGAACAAGGGTCTCTTTGGGAAATATTTCATTCAATAATTTTTCATATTTCACTAGATCACCAGAAATTTGGTTTCTTCGAGTGGTTTGTTGTTTTGCGAAGAGTTCTTTTGTTTTTCGGATTTCTTCATCAAAAAAGAGGTCAACTTCATTCTTTCTTGCTTCAA